TATATATATATATATATATATATATATATATACGTTTTTTAAATGGCAAAAATTTGAAAAAGAAAGAGAAAGACAAACATACTGAAATAACTGTATCAGTAGGGACATTATCGGGTTAAATTTGCCTGTATTATTTACCATAGTAAACATGTCAAAGTTTATTAAAAAAAAAAATCATCACTAAATTTATTCACTGCTCAATAATCGCTGGTTAGAAATTGATAGAAGAATAAGTTGTTTCGATAATCGTAATTGATCGGGTACAGAAAACGTAGTTTTAACATTATAGGCCGATATTTCAGCTATGATTGCAAACATTTCGATGGTGCGCGATCAGTTAGTTGCGTGCAAAACTTTTTATTTTGTCAACTCAGTTCGGTTAATGAGTCATTAGTAGAGTTGTATAGGTTAAAGTTATCTTTCTTGGTGGCAGCTACTGGTTTATTTGGTTGCTCTTTCTTTTATTCTTTTGTTTTTGTCGTGACTTCTCAACTGGACCCATTAAGTGCGTTTCGCGGTTATGTTATTTCTTATTTAAATCTACGTTTTTCTACCCTTTCCTAATTCTGTGCTTACAGGCTTATTTATGTCGCTGCAGATTTGTTTTTAAATAGTTAGTGGGGAAAATGATTTTGATGTTTTTTATATTATACCTTTTCTGGGAGAGATTATTCAGGAACAAAGCATTTTCTGTAAAGCTTGGATTAGTTATTCCTTGCTGAAATGTTTGCTGACTTGTAAGCCATTTAAAAGTATGTATTTATTGCTGAATTAGAAAGTTGGTAAAGTTAATTAAAAGCAGATTTCTCAACTGCAAGACAACATTTTGTCTCACAATTCTTACATGCAACAGGACTTTTGTTTCAAGTTTCGTGTGACTGGCTTTCTTGGCCTTGAAATCACATTTGTTACTTGAGCCAAAATACCATTCTACTGCGTCAAAAACACATCAAGCAAACTTACATATGTACTTTTCTTTTTCTAGAGCCCGGTTGTACAATCTTTTTGGCGATATTGAGAAAGAATTTGATGCGCTATACATCGAGAACTGTGCGCGTAAGTTTTATTTCAATATTTATCCAAAGTCATTTGAAGCTTTTATTATAAATCGATTTATCATTTTATATTAGGCAACTAATTTTCTTCAACTATTACATCTTGTGGAGCTTTGGTGTTTTAAAAAAGAATTGCTGAGGTTTCTTCTTGCCCTTTACTTAATGCATTTTTATATTTGTAAATTATTATTTTTAATTGGTACAGTCCGAACTAGGTTGAGCCAACTTGGTGAAAGGCTGGGAGAGCCAGTATCTTTTTCATCTGAACTACTTTCGGTCAATAGCGAGAACGCTATGTCGAGGAAAGATACGGGGAAAAAAGGTAAGCAGACTTGCAACCTTGCTCAGTTTTTGTCCGCTATTCCCAACTCTTTTAGACGAGATGCAACTGAGTCCTTGACAAACCGAAAGCAAATGGTTAAGCAGAACATAGAAAGAAATCTTGTTACACTAAAAACAGTATTATCTTGTTTTTCTAAACGAGACAATTTTTATTTTTAGAATGGAAGGAGCTTTATTAATCTAATCTTTACCTTTAAGCTATCTTTCTTCATATTTCAGCAGTGATGTAAATTTTATTTTGTCAACTAATGAGTAATATTTTTCTTTTGATTTGAGGTAACATGCGTTGTATTCTCCGTAAACTTGAGGCAACTGTTCATTTTTTTTTAGCTATGCAAGTCAGTCAGAAGCTCAAAACTGCCTTTCGGGTACCTCCTGGAAAGTTTGTGCAAACACTTAAAGCTGGTGTCAGTGATAGCTCGCGCCGTGTGAAGTACGTACGATGTTTTACTGGCCACAGAGACGGAGTTTGGCACGTTTCAACATCAAAAGGAACTCAAGGAATTTTAGCTAGTGCTTCCGCAGGTAAAAATTTTGTTGACCTATGTTTAGTCACTTTTCTTTGATTCCTCACCAACTGTTTCTGAATAATAACAAAAATTGCATCTTAAAAAGTAATCTTTTTCCTTATAAGTTTTGGAAGTTTTTTATAAGTTAGTAATATTCAACTGTTTATTTTGGGAATGAAGGGGACAAGTGTTGATCATTTTTGGGCTTTCAACTTTAACCTTTACTTGCATGTAGATCAAGTCTGTCGGTTGTGGTCACTTGATACTGGACTGTGTATTGGACAGTACAGTGGTCATTCTGGATCAGTCAATGGTGTTTCATTCAACCCAGTTTCTACTGACCCAAATGATCTTGTAGTGGCTACAGCTAGTGGTGACTATACTGTTCACGTATGGAAGTACTCTTTGTTAGGTATTTTCTTAACTTTTGTTCAAAAAATTTTTTCAAATTTTGCTCGTTTTTTTTCATGATTTTTCGTCATTTTTTTGATCTAAGGATACCATTAATCATGATCTACAAATTTTAAAACGTTCAGGCGATGTTCCTCACCAAATGGGGAGTAGTGAAGAAGAGCTCGAAAGTACTGATGTAAAAACACTTGGAGAAGATTCTACAGGTTAGAGAACAACTGCGTTTTTTGATGTCTTTTTTGAACTTTAAGTTTTAAAGATTTGGGTTCACCGAACCATGCCACTTAGGTAAGTAGGGACGATGAACTTTTTTGACAAGGTAGTAAATATTCTGCTTTAGAGATTTCATCCTTTGAGTTTGGCATAAATTTCTTTTTTGAAACTAGTTTCTTAATTTGTAACGCAATTTGTTTTGGAACGTATTATGAGTCAGGATAAGTCACGAAGTAGTACAAGTGGTAAAAAATAGATTTGAAATTAGTAGATCGTCGACCGATGCTCGTTGCGGGTTGCTTTTTTTTCGGGCAGTTTTGTAACGGAATTGTATTTGTCTCATACCAATAATAAATATGGAATTCTTCGTCCGTGATAGTTTTTACATGCCGACATGAGTTTTACAGTGCAGTTTAATAATTGAATTTTGCTACGATGAACAGAATTAGTGTTCAAAGAAAATCTTTCAAGCAAAAGTGATTGGCTTACTTGATGTTGATTTATGCAGAGTAAGATTGCTTTTTGTTTTCAAACGGATCGTAAGAAATGAGTTTCTGAGACTTAGTTTTACATTTTATCTGCTGTTCTTTTAGCTTTACGTCAGTAATAGTAGCACATAATTTTTTCTTGATTTACAACATTCACTTCATACACTTAGGATAGCGTTGATGATATCTTTAATTGAAGTTCTATGTAGATGTGGATCCTGTGATGCCCGGTGTTATAAGGCAGCCAGTTTGTAGTTTAACAGGTCATACGAATGTCGTCATTGCTGTAGATTGGATATGCAATGGAGAGCAACTTCTTACTGCTAGCTGGGATAGGAATGCTAATGTTTATGATGTTGAAAGAGAAGAGATATTAAATGTTCTTTCAGGTACTATTAGTATAATTTTACTTGTGATATTTTTTAAAAAATTGAAAGAAGTCTCTTGCTTTCAATTAGCGCAGCCTTATTTGACAAACTTTTCAGTAATTCTCTGCTTTAGGTCATGATGATGAATTAACACATTGCAGTGCCCACAGTTCTCAAAAACTTGTAGTCACTGCTAGTCGTGACTCTACGTTTCGCTTATGGGACTTTAGAGAATCGATACAATCTGTTGCGGTCTTTCAAGGTCACAACGAGTAAGTGGTGAAGTAACTTTACTTTTTTTTATAAGCAGTGATTTGCTTGGTGTACTGTTTAAGTTTGTTTTATGGTCTAGGAAATTTTTAAGTTGCTGTTGTTCTATTTTTGGCAGCAGGCTCTTTAAAATCAAACGCACTGTACTACTGGCTATAAGCTTGAAGTTATAAATATTTTTTTGATTCGGGTGCTTGGCTAACAGTGATTTTTTTTTAGTTCGGTCACCTCTGTCGTTTTTTCTACTGGTGAAAAAGTTGTCTCGGGTAGCGATGATCGTTGCGTGAAGGTGTTTCTTTACTTGTCGTACTGGTAGTTTATTATGCTAAAAGATATTTAGTCGTTGAAGGACCATTAGTTATTCTTAGATGTTTTGTCTTTCAGTAACTTTGTGATATTCCTCGCTAGAAGTCAATCTAACTTAAAGTGTTTAAGGTATGGGACTTACGGAATATGAGAAGCGCAATAGCTACAGTTCGACTGAATAGCGCTGTCAATCGTCTTTCAGTTTCTTCAAGAAGTCTTGTTGCAATCCCGCAGGATGACAGGAACATTCATATATATGACTTAAACAGTGTGCGGCTTACTCGAGTTCCTCGTGCCAACTCTAAAGTATTCAACAGTTCTTTCAGTTTTTCAAACCTTATTCGGTTTTTTATTATTACTTTTGATAGCACAGAACAGACTAAACTAATCTTTGTTGTAGTTGTTACGGAATTTTGTTGCTTTAAGTACATATGAAGCGGAATTTAAGGGTCACCGAAGAATTGTATATTGTGCCGCTTGGGCTGATGATCATCCAGCAAATGACCTAATTACATGCGGTTTTGACAAACGCATTATTGGTTGGAAAACTTCTTTTTTAAAAGAATAACCCTAAAAGTAAGTACATAGTGCTGTTGAAGTTTCGCCCACCATTTCGTTTTCTTTTTATTTCACAGTATTTTATGTTTTATAAGATCTTAGAATATTTTTAAGTTCATTTAACTTCCTGGTTTGTTGATTGACGGACTTATTTATTTGCCGTTTATCGGTTCACTTACTTCTTAAAGCTCTATATAACAAGCTGCAAAGTTTTGCAACTTGATTCATTTTCCAGTCACTTTACTAAATCATTTTCGCATTTCATTATTCGTCTTTTTCCGCTGTCTGAAATGAGCGAGATGTACAAGTTTTTTTTTGCAATGGTAAGCATTTTAGGACTGAATGCATTTTGGGAGTCTTTCACTCGTTTGTGCCAAGACGTATTGAACTTTATTTTGTTTTTTTGCGTTCTTTGGCTTTGTAAATAATCGCTGTGATTAATGGTTTCAGCTGTCACAAAAAGTACCGTCTTCTCTTGGTATTTTGAAGCATTTTACAATATAAGAATTGGTAATTGGCTTGGCGCTATGGTTCTTTTGATAACTATCTTGTTTTTGCAGGTGAATTTTCCTAGACCTAAAAAATAACTTTTGATAGTAAATAACTGTTCGTTGGGAAATAAGTAAACCCTCACAGTACTGTAGATTTTAAAAGTAATAATGATAATGACAATGATAATAATAGTAATAATGGTAATAATTTTTTGAAAGTAATTTTGGCGAAATGCTAAATAACTGCAGTTATATATGGAACGTTACCAACATTTCACTGAGTTTTAGGTTGCTGTGTTCCTCTAAGTTTTTGGTTCTAAAAGCAGTCAAGGTATAATTGTATATTATCTGCTTATATAAGTCGATATCTGGTGGAAAAAAATTTTTTGATATCATTAAGGTAGAAATGATTAGAAAAAAGGTTAGAAGGATATAGTGGATGCAAAAGAGAATAAACTTCCAGTTTACCAGTTCTTTGCGCAGTCATCTTGGTTTTGTTTATTGGGGTTATTTTCGTTAAAGTATTTTTATGGGGATTCATATGGCATCTACACCTTCTGTTACAATTGATTTGCTCGTTATCCATCAATCCTGATAGGGATTATAATTCTGACTAGTTAAATACAGTACTACTTCATTAAATCACACTATAGCAATTTCTGTTATTGTTTTTCCGCTTTGAGATTTGCTAATGTACTGATTTTTCTTAATTCTTTTTAGCTTGCTACCGGAAAAGATTTTTTTACTTTCTCTCATACAAAAAAAAAAGTTTTAAAAGTGAGTTTCCCCTCGCTATGAGCGGAAACTTATGGGAAGTGCGTTTTGGCATGACGTTTCTTAGAGGGGGCAGGGAAATATCAGCTTTGATATCATTTTTTATCGTGTCGATTCCCTCTTTGTTAATAAAGTGAGTGCAGAAGTTGATGTTCTTAAACGTTTTAGCTTATAATTACGTTGTATTGTTGTATTTAATTTAAAAATAAGCTAAGTCAAAGTAGGAGTAACTGTGACAGCGCTAAATCTGCTGGTAGCTTGTCAAAGAAGTTGTAGATTTTGATCCTTTGTTTTAGTTTATCAGTCTTTCCAAGAAAGCAATAAAATTTATTTGTAGCTCTAAATCAAGTGGAGGAGTTGAAGCGATTTAAGCTTCTAGTTCCTGGAAAACCGAGAAAGTTTTTGCTCAATGACTAGCCACTATAACGTTTTGGAACAGACAAAGTCTTGTAGAAATTTTTTTTATTTTCAATCCCCTAACTTTTTTAAAAGAGTTTGAAGTGTGCTGCGCAAAAATGGTGTTCAACGGTGTTGAGACATGTTTTTACAATACGGATAGTTATTGCGTAACTGACGGTTATTTATTTTTTAGAACCGTTTGTGTTTTTCTTTTTCAATCCTTGCGTAGGAAGTAATTAGAAGTAGAAAAAATGAAACTGTTGCGAAGGGACAATATAATTTTTTATAAAGTAGACAAAACTGTTTGAGTAAATTTTCTTTTACCTATTGAAGCATAACAAAAATAGTTGAAATAAGTGGATTTTTAGGCGTTTTTTGGCGGCTAGAAATGAAATGCAAAAAATTTCTTTCAATATTATGGTTACGTTCTTCTGCTGACGAAATCGAGGGGGAAAAGATTGTTTTTCAGCACTTCGTCTTCATAAGTCTTTGATATAAACAAACGTTCCAACCGTTTAGGTGTTTATGTCATATTCTCAGTTTTTGGTTTATGTGCCTATAAAAGTATATTTTTAGGCGTTAATGTGCAGTCTAGTTGGCCGTCTGTGAAGAACTGAAGGCTTCAGGAAGTCTAAACATGAGTGCTTATCTTGGCTGATAAATTTTCAACAGGAACACTGTGCGTTTATTGATTTCTGATCATCTTTAAGTTCTAAAGTAGGATTTAACTATAATGCTGTTATGATGAGGAGGATAAAGGACTGTTTTCTTTGAAATTATGTTAAACCTCAGAAATTCCTTTACACACGGAAAGACGAGGCAGGAATCTACTGCTCAAAAAGATTATTCAGTCCTTTTGAATACTCATGTTTATGAACGCACGTACTTTTTTTTTGAAAGAGGCATATTGCTTTTTTTCCTATTGGATCGTTTTGTATGATTTTTATACTT